GAGGTCAGAGGCTGGGAATGAACTTTTGTTGACCCCAAAAGGATCCCAGCTGTCTAGGGCATGGACCAGAAGTGGAACAAGTGGGCTAGAGCTGTGGTGAGGGCTTAAGGTTAGACATCAGAAAGACATGCATTGAAGGGTGAAGGATATGATAGTCAGGAAAAGCTGAGGCTATAGATCACCCCCAATCTGGGGATTTTCCATATCCCATCCCCTTTCATACCCATGCACGCATACACACACACACACCACCTAGACATACAGAGCCACTCCCACAGAAGCCACCAGACCTGTGGGGGCAGGGGTGGGGCTGTTGTTGTGTGGTAGGTGGGGCCCCCCCAGTGCCTACACCGTTCCTGGGGACCCAAGTCACCACCAAGACTCCAGGGGAGTAGGGAGGAAGGTGGCTCACTCAGCCTGGAACTAAGAGAGGGTGCTTTGTGGAGAGAGCTACAAAGACGGAGGCACGCAAAACATCAGAGCGGGTAGCGGGGACCCAGAGGAGGTATGTGCCTTGCTTAAAATCACAGCACCCTGGGCCAGACATAGATGATGGGGTCCCAGAGAGGGTGTGTGCTTTGCAAAGGGTCACACAGCAGCCTGATGGACAGGAAAAGAGGGCTGGGGCTGAAAGGACCCTTCCCTTCCCCCCGCTTGACCTCTGCCTGCCCAGCAGGTATCTGTGGGTCCGCCTTGGAGAGCACCACCTCTGGAAATGGGAGGGTCCAGAGCAGCTGTTCCGCGTCACGGACTTCTTCCCCCACCCTGGCTTCAATAAGGACCTCAGTGCCAATGACCACAATGATGACATCATGCTGATCCGTCTGCCCAGGCAGGCACGTCTGAGTCCTGCTGTGCAGCCCCTCAACCTCAGCCAGACCTGTGTCTCCCCAGGCATGCAGTGTCTCATCTCAGGCTGGGGGGCCGTGACCAGCCCCAAGGGTATGACCTGGCCCAGAACTCTCTCTGAAACCCCATGCCGGCATCTGGCTCCCTCACCCCTCTGTCTCTGCCTTTTCGTCTCTATCTTCTGCCTTTCTCTCTCCTCTCTCTCTCTCTGTAAGTCTATCTGCCAATCGATATATTTCATCAAATCTAAGATGCTTGAATTTTTCAGACATACCATTATTTTATGAACTGCTAATAATAAGAAAGATCTCACTGATGACATAACATCATTTTTCTGGAAGACACATTCTAATTGCAGAGTTTTTGTTTGTTTGTTTCTGAGGCAGGATCTTGCTTTGTTGCCCAGGCTGAAGTGCAGCAGTGTGATCTTGGCTCGCTGCAGCTTTAAATTCCTGGGCTCAAGCCCTCCTCTCACTTCAACCTCTCAAGTAGCTGAGACTACAGGCATGTGCCAACACACCCAACACCGGCTATTTTTTTTTTTTTTTAATTTTTAGCAGAGATGAGGTCTTGCTATGTTGTCCAGGCTGTTCTTGAACTCCTGGCCTCCCAAAGTGCTGGAATTACAGGTCCGATCCACTGTGCCTTGCCCAGAGGTGTTTAAATGTGAAAATACGTTCATCTTAGAATGGAAATAAGGCCACGTCTCTCAGAGTCACGGATCACTGACCCATTGGGTCAGTGGATTGAAAAAGCAGTCTGAATTTGTTGCTGCCAATATCTAAGACCTGGAAGGTTTTATACAAAAGCTAGGTTTCTGGATTCACTTGAAAAAGTCTGAAGGACTCACATTCCCAAAATAGCAAGCACTGGGCTGAGTCAATGGAAGCTGCTCCCTTCAGCCAAGATAAGTTCTCTGGTCCACTCCAATGGACCCCACTGGCTCCTGTCTCCCTGCACAGCCCCCATCCCCGATTTCTGTTTATTGATTCTGTTTATCATGGTCCTTGATGTGTCTGAGTCTGCATCCATGTCTTATATAGAAGCATATATGTATTATATATCCATCTCCACATCTACACTGACACATCTACTATCCACACTGTATCTGGCATCTCTATGTCTCTGTCTCCATCAGTGACCATCTTCCTGTAAATCTCTTCCCCTTTATCTCGCTGCCTCCCTTCCACCCCTTGAGATCTCTGGGTCTGTCTCTATTTCTTTATTGCCTCTTCGGAGAATCTCTTTCCCCTTTAGAGGTCTCCATCTCCCTTCATGGCCTCTATTTCTCTTATTTCTCTGTGTGAATTATAGATGCATCTCCTCTTGTCTCTTGGATTTCTGCATGCATCTTTCTGTTTCTCTTTGCTGGGAACAAATGCTCGGTGCCACAAAGAAGAATCAGTACTGAGACAAAGGATCTCTCAGCAAGGCAAGTTTACTTTCTGCAGAAACAGTGCTGCTCTTGATGGAGCAATGGTGAGAGCACACTGGACAAAGGAAGGAAGGGGTTTTTATTTCTAATGCAGGTCATCCCTGCTACTGTGTCCTATCTCCGTTGGCTGGAGTTGGACCACACAATCTAAGCTAAACCCAGCTGGCTAACTTGAAAAGTGCAGGAATGTGGTTTTACCCATGGAGAGTGCAGTTTTGGGGGAAGGAGCCGTTGCAATGGGAGGGGTAATCTATAGAGTGGGTAGCAGATGTGGAATGTGGTCTCTATAGATAAGGACTGGTGGGGAGTTTGTTTACCAGGGCAGGAAATACAGAGAGTAAGGAAGTCCAGCCTTGAAAGCAGGGAACAAAGAGCAAGGACGCTGGGCAAGTTAATCCTTTGAAGAGGAACTCCTTTTATATCTAACACTCTTCCTTTCTTCTTCTTATTTTAGTATTATTATTATTTTGAGATGGAGTCTCCCTCTGTCCCCCAGGCTGGAGTACACTGATGCAGTCTCAGCTCACTGCAATTCTTGTGCCTCAACCTCCTGAGTAGCTGGGATTACAGGCTCCTGCCATCATGCCCAGCTAATTTTTATATTTTTCCTAAAGATGGGGTTTCACTGTGTTGGCTGGGCTGGTTTTGAACTCCTGACCTCCAGTGATCTGCCGGCCTCAGCCTCCCAACGTGCTGGGGTTAGAGGCATGAGCCCCCACATCCAGCCTCTTTGTCTTCTGGTCCCTCTTCTTTCCGCCTTGTCTTCATTTGTTTCTACTGCATGCTATGACTGTCTGTCACTGTCTCTTGTCTCTATCTTTGAGGGTCTTAAATGTGGCTCCATGGGTCCTTTGGAAAAGCTGCAGGGAGGACTCAGGGCGGTGGGGTGCTGAGAGACAGTTTCAGATCCTTGACAGTCTCCTTCCCAACAGCACTGTTTCCAGTCACACTGCAGTGTGCCAACATCAGCATCCTGGAGAACAAACTCTGTCACTGGGCATACCCCGGCCACATCTCGGACAGCATGCTCTGTGCGGGCCTGTGGGAGGGGGGCAGAGGTTCCTGCCAGGTGAGACCTTACTCCAGGGAAAATGAGGCTGTCCTGCCAAGTTTCCTAGGTCTTTGGGGAGGAGAGGGATGGGCCCCCAGCCTTCCTGGGTCAAAATGAGGAGCCTGGGACACCTGGTTCCTGGGAGAGGACAGGACTCCTGAGTGTAAAAGATGAGAGGTCTGGAGGTACGGACTTCTGGATCTACAGGAGGAATGGGCTGGGTGTCCAGAGTCTGAGACCTGGGGGAGGAGGAGGTTATGCCCTGCGGGGAGGTGGGGCTCTGAGCTTTTACTCCTGGTTCTGAGGGAAGAGAGGCTGGAGATGGAGGACTATCTGGTGTTGGAGGAGGAACGGGCTGGGGCCTTTTTGGGAAGGAGAAAGTGGCCCGTGTAATTGTGATGAACAAAGCGGCCTAACAGTTCCTCTGCCCTTCTTTCGCATACAGGGTGACTCTGGGGGCCCCCTGGTTTGCAATGGAACCTTAGCAGGTGTGGTGTCCGGAGGTGGTGAGCCCTGCTCCAGACCCCGGCACCCCGCAGTCTACACCAGCGTATGCCACTACTTAGACTGGATCCAAGAAACCATGGCGAACTGACCCCTCGCGCCTCGGGGGCAGCTTGGAAACCCAAGAGAGACCGAAGGGCACCGGGTAGGGGGTTCCCGAAGGGTTCCAGTCTCAATGGTGCCCGCCCTTGACGTCCAGATGCCCTGAGACTCCCCTCTGGACACTGAGACCCTGCCCCTGAGGCTCCGCTTCCTCACAAGGTCAACCCAAGACACAGTCGCGCCCCTCAGAACGGAGCAGGGACACGCCCTTCAGAGCCCAGTTCTACCACCGACAACTGTCACTTCTCTTGGAACAGCACAGCCTGTGGCTCCGCCCCAAGGAACCACGTGCACAAAACAGCTCCGCCCCTCGGAGCTTTGCCCAATGGGACTTCCTCTCGGGACTCCACCCCTTATGGCCCCGCCTCCTTCACCAGAGGTCCCGCCCCGCCCCGTGATGTCAGGGGCGCAGAATCTGCGCCCACGTGGAGCTCGGGCTCCGCCCCTCGTGGCCCGGCCGCGCGTGTCCTGGGTTTGAATCCTGGCGGGGACCTGAGGGGAAATTGAGGGAGGGTCTCGATACCTTTAGAGCCAATGGATGATTTTACAGTAAACTTGAAACCTCACCTTCTTTCTGCACGAGCTGTGAGCTGAGTGGAGGGCAACGGGTGGGCTGTAAACGGCAGATGAGGGAACCGCTACCGCGTTCCAACTCCCCCTTTCCCCCTAGTAAGTCCTGCCTAAAGTCTCTCTCCATCAGCCCTATTGCAGCAAGCCTCCTGGGTTCTGCTTGGGTTGGTCCTGTCGCCTCCAGGCGAAGGGGAAACCAGGTCACGGTGCCTCCCAAACCTGCCCTCCCAGATCCCGGACCCCTCAGGGGGCAGCGGGCGGGGCCTGATCCACCCTTAGGCGTCTGACCCAAGAAGACCTACCTTTATTCCGTTCCAGGTTACTGGCAGCAGCCTCCTCCTCCCATAAAAGGTCAGGCTCCAAGCCTCTCCTTTTACAAGTACTTAGAATTTAGCCCCCCGCCCCCTCCTTCTTCACGCCCAGGAATCCAGGCCCCCAGCCCCTCCTCCCTCAGACCTAAAAGCCCAGGTCCCAGCTCCTCCTCCCTTAGATTTAGGAGTCCAGGCCCCAGCCTCTCCTCTCTCAGACCCAGGAATCCAGGCCGCCAGCCTCCTACCCTCTCAGAACTAAAGTCTTGGCCCCCAGCCCCTTACATTTCAGATCTTAGAATCTTAGCACCGGCTCCCTCCTCTCCTTAGCCTCAAGAGTCTGAGTTGCCAGCCCTTCCTCCCTAAGATTTCATGTTCAGCCCCTTCCGCCCCTCCTCACTCACACCCAGCGTTCCAGTTCCCAGAAGCTCCCTAGGCTCCAGTGCAGGAGGAGGAGGAGCTACAGGCGGGGCGTCCCAGTTAAAAGCCTCCAGACTCGAGTACTGTACCGAGCAGAGAGAACTGAAGTACTGGGGCCTCCTCCACTGGGTCCGAATCAGTAGGTGACCCCGCCCCCTGGATTCTGGAAGGTGAGGTGCAGAGGTACTCAGACACAGACATCAGGCCCGGACCCTCCTTTTCCAGGTTCCAGGACCCCAGACTCAGATGCCCTTCTCTCTCGAGACCCAGCAATCTGGACCCCAGCTTCCTCCTCTCCCAAATTTAGGAGTCCCAGCTCCCAGCTCCCTGTCCCTTCAGACACAGACATCCAGGACCCAAACTCCCTCACCCCTTGGAAAGTAGGAATCCAATCCCCAGCCTCCCCTTCCTCCAGAGAAGCCCCAAACAGTCCCAATGCGCTCAGCTCCCTCCCCAGTCCCAAAATCCAGAACTAGGCTTTCAGGCTCCTCCTTGCTGTCTCCCGGCCCCGCCCTCTCCATTTCCCAGACCTCACCATGGGACGCCCCCCACCTCGTGCAGCCCTGACGTGGATGTTCCTGCTCTTGCTGGGGAAAAGCTGGGCAGGTGAGGAGGGTTGCGGAGGTCTCCGGAGGGGAGGGGTCTGAAGGCAGCCGTGGCGCCGGGGAGTCTGTGGGAATGTCGCGGTGGTTATGTGGGTGCGTGTGCACGGATGTGAAGGGTGTGACATGATGCAGAAGCCTCTGTGGGCTTTCCTCAGGGTGCATGGAGGCAAGAAACAGGTGGCAGCGGGTAGGAGTAGGTTCGGTTATGCTGCAAATTGTCTGAATACCCACAGCCGGTGAGGGGCTGCTTGCTTGGGGGCATAGATTCATGTGGGAGTATAGGGGGCATGTAGACTCATGTGGAAGCATGTGGGGGCATGCTCGGGTGTGTGCCTCTTGTATGATACACACGGACTGAAATGAGTGTACCTGCGTGGCAGCGTGTGGACACCCGGGCTCCCCTCACTAAGTTGTATGCGGAGAACTTTCCGTGTGTCCATTTGACCCCACAGTGGCCTTCCCAGCCCTGGCACTGCCCCAGAGGGTGGCGATCCAACCCTCTCCCTCCTGCTGCAGGACACTCCAGGGCACAGGAGAACAAGGTGCTGGGGGGTCAGGAGTGCCAACCCCATTCGCAGCCTTGGCAGGCGGCCTTGTTCCAGGGCGAGCAACTGCTCTGTGGCGGTGTCCTTATAGGTCGCAACTGGGTCGTCACGGCTGCCCACTGTAAAAAATCGTGAGTGGATGACGGGGACAGAGGTCGGCTGGGGAAAGAGGAAAGAGGGGGCTGGGTTTCCACTCAAGAAGGAGAGAGCTGAGGACTGGATTCCTGGGTCTAAGGGAGGAGGGGGCTGGGGGCAATACCCCTGCCTGGGTCCCAAACTGTCGCCACCATTACAGGAAATACACAGTACGCCTGGGAGACCATAGCCTACAGAAAAAGGATGGGCCAGAGCAAGAAATAGCTGTGGTTCAGTCCATCCCACACCCCTGCTACAACAGTAGCGATGTGGAGGAGCACAACCATGATCTGATGCTTCTGCAACTGCGTGACCAGGCATCCCTGGGCTCCAAAGTGAAGCCCATCACCCTGGCAGACCACTGCATCCAAGCTGGCCAGAAGTGCACCATCTCAGGCTGGGGCACTATCACCAGTCCCCAAGGTAGTGGGCTTGGCCACTAATGGGAGGGAGAGGAAGAGCTGGTTGGCCCAGTGGACCCCAAGCTATTGGCAAATCTTGGTCCCCCTAGAAGGAGACAAAGAAGGGAAAGTGATCGTGATGTTAAGATTCACAAGTGGGAGCCGTATTAGAAACCTCGAAGACCAGACTACTAACAGGAGTGGTGAGAGAAAGAGAACCAACTAGCAGATTGTTAAGCAGGGCGAGAAAAGCCCCTCCTTTATGGCGGAGAGCACTATCCTATGAGACTTTTCATTGTATAGGATGTTATGTAATCTTAACACACTCAGGATATTTGGACTTCTCAGAGGCCCGGGAACACAGGCTCCTAAGCACCTTCTCCCCCACCCCCCCCCCCCTCAGATGTGTATCTCGGGATTTAGTGGGGTACACAGTTTCACTCAGTTGCCCAGGCTGGAGTGCAGTGGCGCAATCTCAGCACATGGCAACCTCCGCCTCCCAGGTTCAAATGATCCTCATGCCTCAGCCTCCCGAGTAGCTGGCATTACAGGCACCCGCCACCATGCCCAGCTAATTTTTGTATTTTTTGTAGAGACAGGGTTTCACTATGTTGGCCAGGCTGGTCTCGAACTCCTGACCTCAAGTGATCTGCCCGCCTCAGCCTCCTAAAGTCCTGGGATTACAGGCGTGAGCACCACACCCGGCCTTTTTCTCCCTCTCGAACCCAGGAAACCTGGGCTCTGGTCCCCTCTTTCCTCAGACCCAGGAGTCAAGGCACTTCTTCTCCCAGGACCCAACAATCCTAGTTCCCTCTTGACTCTGGACCCCAAAGTCTGGGCCTCCAATGAAGCTGGGTACCTTTGGGACTCCAGAATCCAGGCAGCTCCTCATCTTCCTTCACAGCGAAAAAATTGGGACTCAGCTCAGAGAGTCAATGGGCTTCTCTAGGAAGTGGCAAAGTCCAGCATTCAAGTCCCTGTCTGTCTCACTCCTGCCCTGAATGCTTTGGATGAGACCGTGTGCTGCTGTAGAAACACACCTGCTTGCAAATCAGGTAGATCAGTTCAAACCATGGCTCTGCCCCTTCACCTTGGGCAAATTCCTTTTCATCTCTGAGCCTCACTTTCCTCATCTGCAAAATGGGAATCATCATCTAAGAGATTTTTTTAGCTCCATGAGGGTTCAGATTACATCAGTTTTCTTCATCGTGTGTTCCTAGTGCCCGAGATGGTGCCTGGTACATAGTAGGTGCTCAATAAATATCTGTTGGAAGGATGAATAATGAAATGAATTAATGCATCCCTCCTTCAAAGCACTGTTGTGAAGATTAAAAGAGATTGTGAGTGTATAGCTTTTGGCATGCAGAGGTGCCAGATGGAAGTTTTTCCCCCTCAAAGATACTTTGAAGAAGTCTATTCCTCAAAATAGGTTAATAAAAAAGATCAATTCCACCTTCAATCATTAATACAACTCTTTTTTTTTTTTTTTTTTTTTTTTTTTTTGAGAAGGAGTTTTGCTCTTGTTCCCCAGGCTGGAGTGCAATGGCGCGATCTCGGCTCACCGCAACCTCCGCCTCCTGGGTTCAGGCAATTCTCCTGCCTCAGCCTCCTGAGTAGCTGGGATTACAGGCACGTGCCACCATGCCCAGCTAATGTTTTGCATTTTTAGTAGAGACGGGGTTTTACCATGTTGACCAGAATGGTCTCGATCTCTTGACCTCGTGATCCACCCGCCTTGGCCTCCCAAAGTGCTGGGATTACAGGCGTGAGCCACCGCGCCCGGCCAATACAACTCTTGCTTATTGAGCTCCTAGTATGCCCCAGGTGCTGCTGCAGGCACTTGATGTACAGTCATGAGCAAACTATACAAAGTCCTTGTCCTTATGGAGTTGAAAGCTAGATGGGAGAAATAGGCAATAAACAAATACACGTAAAATAAAATAATAGGTAAAGTGCTGTAAGGAAATATTGTGGCGGGTAAAAGGATAGGGAGTAATGAAGCGATGGTATGTTTAAATTAGAGTGGTCAGGGAAGGCTTCCAGGAGGAAGTGACAGTTGGAAGGAGCAGGATTTAGCACAGATTGAGGACCTGGTTGGCTGAGGGCAGGAAGACTGGAAAGAGAGGGTCAGAGGGATCATAAAGGGGCACCTCCAAGTAGTCCCCAGCCCCTTGATTTGAAAATGGCTCAGGGCAAGAACAAGTATGTGAGATCCAAGGACCCCTCTCTAGATGGCAAAAGCCCAATAGCAGAGGGCACAGCTTTGTTTAATGTGGTGAGAAGCGATGTGCCCTGTGCAAAGTGTCAGAAAGCTCCCCCGTTACATCCTGGAAAGAAAGGAAGGGGGTTAGATCCAGACAGGGATGGAGGCAAAGGGCTGCTCTCTTAGGGAATCTTACAACCTCTTCTCCCTCAGAGAATTTTCCTGACACTCTCAACTGTGCAGAAGTAAAAATCTTTCCCCAGAAGGAGTGTGAGGATGCCTACCCAGGGCAGATCACAGATGCCATGATCTGTGCAGGCAATAGCAATGGGGCTGACACGTGCCAGGTGAGTGATTTCTGAAATCCTCCTCCCCGCTCATCCCTCATGGCCCTCTAGAGGCTCAAGGCTTGGATGGGGGAGGTGGTAAGGGGAGTAGTCCCAAAGACAGTTCCTGGAGCAGTTGCCCAGATCCCTACGGAGTGGGAACCAGGTTCAGAAAAGGCCAAACTCTCTCTGAAAGTCACACAGCATAGGAATTAGGAACATTAAATTGTCGCTGCCATTTTCTTTCAAGCCCTTACCTACAGGATGGGATGCAGAGCTGGGGGCTATAGCGGGTGGGGTAGATGTCCAGGAAGGAGAGAGTTGAGGCTAGAGGTGAAGCGAGTTCCCTGCTCTCGCTCCCAAGCATTACATCGTGGAATTTGTGCCAACTTTACCACTGGCCAGGTGATCAGCCACTTTTCTTTGAGACTGGCTAGAATCCCAAGGCTGGTTCCCTTCTCCTATGATTGGTTCCTTGGGAGACAATGCTATCTTGTGAGTGGGCAGCGGGAAATGGTGCCATTGACTTGAGTGCCTCCGCAGTGAGCTCCCATCCCTTTCTCTTGGGATTTGTCATAGACATAACTCTGCCTTCTAACTGTATCTTCGTTGTTCCTAGCACTGCCCTGGCTTTGTCCCCTACCTGGAAGCCCACCTTCACTAATGATTGGTCCCTAAAGACAATGCTTTCTTCCCCACTGGCCAAGAATGGAGTCATTTCCATCAGCGATACTGTCCTGAAAGCCAGTCTCTCTGGATTGCTCCATAGAGACAGTGGTCTCTTCCACAAAGAGTTCAGCCATTGTCCCTTGGGGATATGGGGTGTGGGTGTGTGTGTCCACAAGAACCTTGATCCTTTCTCCTGGTGTTTGGTAACTGCAATCAATGATGCCTTCACTACTGGCAGAAATGGAGGAAACTTCAGCTCAGTCCTCTCCATGTAATCCCTACCGTCTTCTCCCTGGATTGGACCCTTGAGGACTCTTTTTTCTTTTTTTTTGAGACATGGTCTCGCTCTGTCACCCAGGCTGGAGTGCAGTGGCACAATCTCCGCCCACTGTAGCTTCTGCCTCCCTGGCTCAAGCAATTCTCCCACCTCAGCCTCCTGAGCAGCTGGGATTATAGGCACCCACCACCACAACCAGCTAATTTTTGTATTTTTAGTAGATGAGGTTTCACCATGTTGGCCAGGCTGGTCTCAAACTCCTGACTTCAAGTGATCTGCCACCTTGGCCTCCCAAAGTGCTGGGATTCCAGGTGTGAGCCACCGTGCCTGGTCGAGATTTCATTCTTTCCCCTCTTTAATCAGTGTTTTGACCATTATCCTTGGACACCATGTCTGTCTGTACATGGAAGCCCCAAGCCTTGTCCTGACTGGTCTCAGGGGAAAATGATGTTACCCCCCATTGGCCACAGGGTCCCAATCGTGCTAAAGAACTGGTAAAATGGCTGAGTGTGGTTGCTCACACCTGTAATCCCAGAACTTTGGGAGGCCGAGGCAGGCAGATCACCTGAGGTCGGGAGTTCGAGACCAGCCTGACCAACATGGTGAAAACCCACCTCTACTAAAAATACAAAATTAGCCAGGCGTGGTGGTGCATACCTGTAATCCCAGCTACTCGGGAGGCTGAGGCAGGAGAATCACTTGAACCCAGGAGGCAGAGGTTGCAGTGAGCTGAGATCACGCCACTGCACTCCAGTCTGGGCAATAAGAGCAAAAACTCTATCTCAAAAGAGAGAGAGAGAGAAAAAAAAAAGAACTGGTAAAATGCTGGGACAGCAGGAAAAGGGATTTTGTGGACATGTCAGGTACAACCCTGTTCTCATTCTCCCCATCTAGGGTGATTCTGGGGGTCCCCTGGTGTGTGATGGTGCACTCCAGGGCATCACCTCTTGGGGCTCAGACCCCTGTGGGAGACCCAACAGACCCGGGGTCTATACCAACATCTGCCGCTACCTGGACTGGATCAAGAAGATCATGGGCAACAAGGGCTGATTCTAGGAGAAGCACAGGAACTCCCTTAATAAACTCACAACTATAGATGGCTCCTTGCCTGTGTGTGTTTTGGTCCTGCGGGGAGGGCTGGATGGGGAGCAAGCGTCGTTCTTGCTGGCAGGTGAGGTGGGAATCTGGGGAGACCAAGACCTCATGGTCATGTCGGCCATCACCACTGCCTGAAGCAATCCCTCGTTTTCCTGCAGGGACTTGGGTAACAGCTTTATTTCAGGGGAGAAAACACATACAAGGGTTTTCATACAGTCAGTGGGCTGGTACGTGAAAGACAGTTTTGAAAGGATTTTTGTTTGGTTTTCCTGAGCAAAGTGTTCACAAGCTTTGGAGGTAAAATTTTCCCCTTCAAAAAAAAAGTCATTGTGCCAGGTGTGGTGGCTCATGCTTGTGATGCTAGCACTTTGGGAGGCTGAGGTGGGGGAATCGCTTGAGCCCAGGAGTTCAAGGTCTCAGCATCATGTAAGACCTCGCCTCTATTTTTATTTTAAAAAATAGGCTGGGCATGGTGGCGCACGCCTGTATCCCAGCACTTTGAAAGGCCGAGGAGGGCAGATCAGCTGAAATTGGGAGTTAGAGACCAGCCTGACCAACATGAAGAAACCTCGTCTCTACTAAAAATACAAAATAATCTGGGTATGGTGGCACATGCCTATGATCCCAGGTATTCGGGAGGCTGAGGCAGGAGAATTGCTTGAACCCAGAAGGCGGAGGTTGCAGTGAGCTGAGATTGTGCCATTGCACTCCAGCCTGGCCAACAAGAGCAAAACTCCACCTCAATAATAATAATAATAATAATAGAAAAAGTGGAAAAAAATTGTGAGATATGCATAGAAAATAGTGCAGAAAATATATGAATGGCTTAAATAGTCACAAATGAACAACCATGAAACGACCACTCAGGTCAAAAATCTGGAGAGCTCCCAAAAGTCCAGATAGAACTCTTTCCCACAGCCTAGAGCCATCTGGTGGTGTCTGCTGTGGTAGAAGGAAATGAGTGGTGTGTCCAAATTGAAGTGTGAGGCAAAGGGCATTTTGGGAAGTTTTCATTAAAGCGAAGGCTTAGCATAACTTGTTTTAGGGAAAGATGAGTATAGAGAGGGTAGTTATTACAAAGATATAAATAGTCACTTTCCTAGTGGTGCAGGCCAGGTGAGCCCAAAATTGGAACTTAGCCAGGGAGGGTTCCTGATTTTGCCCGGGAAAGAATTCAAGGGCAACCCAGTGGAGTCAGGAACTTTTTTTGAAACAGTAGTGCGCAGCGGCAGAGGTACTGCCCCTTGCACAGTAGGGCACAAAGTAGCAGCCGCTCAGGGGCAGCTCTCTAGTCATATTTATTCCCACTTTCAATTACATGCAAATTAAGGGGTAGGTTATTCAGAAATTTCTAGAAAAAGGATAGTACATTCTGAGTCTTGCCATGGCAATGGTAAACTATCGTGGTGCTGGTGGGCACATCTTACCGAGATTCGTGCCTTTTCCCTGTTTCAGCTGGTCTTCAATCTAGTCCAGAGGTAATAGTCTCATGAAAGAGAATTTGATTCATCCAGCTCACCCTTTCTTCTTCAGCCACATCATTGGTCACTGAATGGCCAATCGTTTGATTGCATTGAGGTCAGGTGACCAATCTTATCCAATCAGTAGCTACTTGGAGTCATGTGATATGAATCATGGCCACTTAATGCTATGGGAAGGCAATTCTCCACAAGGGGTGTGGGTATCTGAGACACCTTGCATTCATCAATCTCTGTGATGCTTTATGACAGGTCCCCCATACTAGATATCCTGAGGAAGTATTTCAAGCCTGGCATTAAACTTCTGATGCCAGGGATGCGTTTCTGGAGGGACATCTCAACTCAAAGAATTGTTTTATAATTTTTAGTATGGAAAATTTCAAACATATACAAAATAGAATAACATAATGTGTCTTCAGATACCACCATCCAACTTCAATAATTAATGCAGTGGCTCACGCCTGTAACCCCAGCACTTTGAAAGGCCAAGGCAAGAGGACTGCTTGAGCCCAGGTGTTCAAGACCAGCCTGAGAAACATAGAAAGACCCTGGTTTCTAAAGTTAAAAAAGTATCCAGACAGCCCAGGCGCGGTGGCTCATGCCTGTAATCCCAGCACTTTGGGAAGCTGAAGTGGGCAGATCACCTGAGGTCAGGAGTTCAAGACCAGCCTGACCAACATGAAGAACCCCGTCTCTTCTAAAAACACAAAATTAGCCGGGCGTGGTGGTGCATGCCTGTAATCCCAGCTACTCAGGAGGCTGAGGCAGGAGAATTGTTTGAACCTGGGAGGCGGCGGTTGCAATGAGCCAAGATTGTGCCATTGCACTCCAGCCTGGGCAACAAGAGTGAGACTCCATCTCAAAAAAAAAAAAAAAATTAGCCAGGCATGGTGGCATACGTCTGTGGTCCCAGCTATTCAGGAGGCTGAGGTGGGAGGATCACTTGAGCCTGAAAGTTTGAGACTACAGTGAGCTATGACTGTACCACTGCACTCTAGCCTGGATAACAGAGTGAGACCCTGTTGCAAAAAAAAAAAAAGTTAATACAAAACCAATTCTTGTTTCACCTATACTCCCACCACACACTTCCCTAATGCTGGAATATTTTGAAGCAAATCCCAGTCATCATATCATCTTATTCTTAAATATTTTATTATGCATTTTTAAAACAGGGGATGGCAAACTACAGCTGTTGGACCAAATCCCCTGAGCTAAAAACACTTTTTTCTATGTGATGGATAAAGAACTGTGACAAAAAATTTGTACTAAATTATCATTACTACATTTTGAATTTCATCAATTAAAAATTGTGAAATTTGGCCAGGTGCGGTGGCTCACATCTGTAATCTCAGCACTCTGGGAAGCCGAGGTGGGTGGATCACAAGGTCAGGAGTTCAAGACCAGCATGTCCAAGATGGTGAAACCCCAAATTTACTAATAATACAAAAATTAGTTGGGCATGTTGGTGGGCACCTGTAATCCAAGCTACTTGAAAGACTGAGGCAGAGAATTGCTTCAACCCAGGAGGCAGAGGTTGCAGTGACCGAGATACTACCATTGCACTCCAGCCTGGGCAACAGAGTGAGACTCTGTCTCTAAATAAATAAATAAAAATTTTATTTTCTCTCTTGCTATTAAATATCTACATAATATTTTCCATTTTTGTCTCTTGGTCCGCATAGGCTAAAGTATTTATTATCTGGCCCTTTATTTTAAAAATGTGCCAAACCTTGTTCCAAAAGAGACTCGTTTTAAACATAACCAATTACATTATCACACCTTACACAGTTGATGATAATTCCTTAGTATCATCCAATGCCCAGGAGATTGTCTTTTGAGACAGGGTCTTACTCTGTTGCCCAGGCTAGAGCACAATGAGCATTGCACAAACAATGTTTACGGCAGTTTCTACCTCCTGGGTTCCAGCCATCCTCCCACCTCAGCTTCCAGAGTGGCTGGGACCAAGGGCAGGGGCCCCCCCCCCCACTTTTTTTTTTTTTTTTTTTGGATAGAGATAGGACTGTACCATGTTGCCCAGGCTGGTCCAGGAGATATTTTAATGTCCCCAACGGAATATAAGCCTGAGAAGACTTGGTGATTGATTTATTCAATCTTAGGTACTAAGGCAGGGCATAGAGGGAACATAGCTACTAACAGAAACAAAAATCTCCTTTCTCTTGGCATCTTGATATTCATCACAGGGAGGAATTCTCATTGGTCCGGTTTGAACTGGGCCCACCCCTTTAATCTATCATTGTTGCCAGAGAGAAAACACTGATCTTGTTGGCTTAGCCTGGGTCATTTCCCCACCTCAGTGGGTGGGTGGAGTTGGAGAACTATGATTGACAGTTTCACTGGAACTACATGAAGTAAGGCAGCATCTCCCCCAAAAGAAACGGAATTCTGCCAGGAGGCGGAGGTTGTAGTGAGCCGATATCACTCCACTGCACTGCAGCCTGAGCGACAGAGGGAGACTCCAACTCAAAAAAAAAAAAAAGAAAGAAATGGGGTTCTGTTCTTGAAGTAAGGAGGAAGAGAATCCCGGAAGTCCGAAACAATGGGCCATCAGAACCAATGGGCTGAGTCAGGAGGTACGGGGGTCACAGTGTTCAAAATCCCTCAGGGAAGGACACAGCTGGCAAGATTGTCAGATGCCAGTTCTCAGGCATAATCATGAGCTGGAAGATGAGTCATTTAAAAAGGTACAGGACATAGGTCTGAGGGTGAGAGAGGTATGGGGCTGGGTGTCTGGGTAGGACTTAGCAACAGGTGGTGGGACTAAATGCAAAGGGCACAGGGGGCCCGGCTTTGGGCCTCGGACACAGGGGTACACATCATTAATAGGCCATGAGGGATCCAACTCTGTTTTGAACCAAGTGAGACTCAGAGGGTACGTGTGGATGTAACAAGGAAATTTCCTTCTCAGAGTAGGGATTTGTGCAGTGGTGATACCAAAGGCCTTTGATTCCCAACATTCAAATTCTGATACTTTTCCTTTTTTTGAGGCAGAGTCTGGCCCTGTCACCCTGGCTGGAGCGCAGTGCTGTGATCTCAGTTCGCCGGAACCTCTGCATTCTGGGCTCAAGCAATTCCCCTGCCTCTGCCTCCCTGGTTCAAGTGATTCTCCTACCTCAGCCTCCTGAGTAGCTGGGAGTATAGGCGCGTGCCACCACATCCGGTTAATTTTTTGCATTTTTAGTAGAGATGAGGTTTCACCATGTTGACCAGGCTGGTCTTAAACTCCTGACCTCAAGTGATCTGCCCACCTCAGTCTCCCAAAGTGCTGGGACTGCAGGCTTGAGCCACCATGCCCGGCTGAATTCTGACACTTCTGACTCCTTAGCTCTGTGACTTTGCTCAAGGGATCTAGCCTTTTTTAAAACCTCCACGTTTTCATCTATAAAATGGCGATGATGAGGCAGGGGGCAAAAACTAAAAATAAAGTGGGGATGGCAGTCTTCACCTGGACCGATATGAGGAATACAGACAAAATCTGTGAAGCACCTGCCACACCACACTAAATGCAGAAAAAAAATATGGGAGCTGCTTCTTTATTCCCTGGGTGATGGGCTCAGGGAACTAATGTTAATTCAGTGCCTGTTATGTGCCCATCAATTTTCCATTGATAAATTTATTTGATCCTCCCATTTGCCTCGATAAATAGGTTTTGCTCTCTTCCACTTTGGAGAGGGGCAAAGTCAGACTCAGAAAAATGAAGTCACTTACCCGAAGTCACAGGGTGGGCAGCCAGGATTCAAATCTGGGTTGGGCTGACTCATGAAGCCAAGTTCTTTCTAGTTCTTTCTATCATACTGCAGGGTGGAACAGCTCAGAGATTAAGTCAGGACTGAATCTGTGGATGCCAGAGGTTTGCAGACTGGTATTTATTTATTTATTTAAGTACCTCCTATATTCTCTGGTCTGGGCGGGGTGCTGAAAAAAAAAAAAAACAACCACCCTAGACAGATTTCCTCTGCTTGTGATGACCAGTGTTTGGCAACAGAATCAGGTTAAACAATTAAGAATATAATTTACAGAATGATAGATGATAGATGATGAGAAGCAGAGGAGAGACGTCTTCGTGACTTAGGAGCGAATAACATGGCTAACGGGGCTCCTTCGTCTTTCTGACATGCTGAGCAGGCAGAGGACTGAGGGAGGAGAGAATTGAAGGATGAAGATGCGGGCAACAGATAATAAACTGGAAGTCTTGCTACCATTTTTGTCCTTGAGAAGCCAGGAAGGAAAGATACAGATTGCTGAGTTACGGAGCTGTGAGGTCAAATGGGCTGGAATCTGCTTCTCCTGGATTTGGGAACTCAGGTCAGGAACGCTGACACCCTTCATGACCAGAGTCCTGCTGTGGAATGGGAAGGGCTAGATGTCCAACTTCTGAGATCTGGTTTTGGATTTGATGACAGTAAATGTCTCAGAAGGTGTTGGGACTTGACTTGAGTTGAGTTAGTATAACATCAATGTTAGCAAGATATTAGTTGGCAGACTTTATTTTAGATTTTTTGTAAAATGAAGGGTCAGAGTTGTGTGGGGAGTTGGATAAATAAACACGGAGTTGGGAAAAGAGTTGGGGATGGAAATGAGGATGGGATTTTAGGTAGCAGTTGGGTTGAGGATGAGCATAGGGGCGGGACTTGGGTCAGTGTGTTAGAATTGGTATGGGATGTGAGGGGATAGGTTCACGGGGAGGACATGAATGTGGGATTCCCAGAATATGATGGGAATGGAGACTGATGTCTGAATTATCCTGGGGCAGGTTTGATACCCAGGCCATGGTGGCATTCACTGCTCAGGTCAAGGTTGAGTCTGGCTTACATCTAGAGGTTCAGCATCAGGTCAAGGGGTAGAAAGGTTAAGGTTCGCTGTGGTCTGGGTGCTAGCCTGAGCTGATATTTGGAGTCCAGTACTGAATGAAGGTTTAGGTTATCGGTTGAGATACAAACTGGGGTTGATCAAGGATAAAGCAGAATTTGAGCCTCAGGACTGGGTATAGATTAAGGTTTAGGGTTAAGACTGGGACTTACTAAAAAGTCAAAAACAATAAATCTTGGCTTGGATGTGTTGAAAAAGGAACACTTACACACTGCTGGTGAGAACGTAAATTAGTACGACCTCTATGGAAAGCGGTATGGCGATTTCTCAAAGAACTAAAAGTAGATCTACAATTTGATCCAGCAATCCCACTGCTGGGTATCTCCCCAAAGGAAAAGAAGTCATCATATCAAAAAGACACATATGCACATATGTTTATCACAGCACAATTCACAACTGCAAAGATATGGAACCAAACTATGTGCTTATCAACTGATGAGTGGATAAAGAAAATGTGATGTATATGCACCACGGAATACTATTCAGCTCTAAAAATAATGTATTTTGAAGCAACCTGCATGGAGCTGGAGGCCATTATTCTAAGTGAAATGACTCAGGAATGGAAAACCAAATGCTGTATGTCCTCATGTTAAGTGAGAGCTAACCAGTGGGTACAGAAAGGCATACCGAGTGGTATAATGGACACTGAAGAGACTCAGAAGGCGGAGGTTAGGAAGGGGAGAAGGAATAAAAAGTTATAAATATTGGGTACAATGTACACTGCTTGGGTGATGGGTACACTAAAATCTCAGACTTCACTGCTCTACGATACATCCATGTAATCAAAAGCCACTCGTACCCCAAAAGCTACTGAAACAAACAAAAACACTGGGGCTTATGTCAAAATAAAGTGTTGTGAGTTGTGTCAAAGTAAGGATTGGATTAGGATTCTGCTTGATGTCAGGGTCTGAGCTCCTTCTCACTGTGTCAGAACCATTTGACCATATCTACCATGCCTTCTCAATGAATGACGTCACTGTCCATCCAGCAAGAGACTCTGTCTGCAGTCTTAACATCTCCCACTACTTCCACATGACCTTCATACAATCCACCACCGAGGCCTGTGCATTCTGTCTCCTAAGTGCATTTTGAATCCACGTACTTAGCATCGTCCCATCTTTCAACCACCTGTCTCCAAGTCACCATCTTCCCTCATCTAGACAACAGGGATAACTTCCCCCGTGGCTGCCCACTATCTTCACATCCCACCCACATCCATCCTTCATACAGCAGCCGGGTTGCTATTTTGAAAATACAAATCTCGTTATGTTATTTCCCTGACTGAGATTCAGATGGTTCTTCATTATCTACAGGATAATGCAAGACTCACCGTGACATACAGAGCTGGTCATTATCTTGTCTCAGTAATTCCGGGTTCGGAACTCCGGCCATAATGCTTTCTACCTTGGGCCTTGGCACATGCTGTTTTCTCTATACAATGCAGGCCCCATTCTCCTCCCATTGTCTTCTAGTTACCAGAAGAAATTTCCTTCTAGTTTACTATTTCTAGTTACTACAAAATTTCCTCTAGTCTACTTCCAGCAACTAGAAAATTTCTTCTAGTTTACGATTCTTTCAAATCTTAGCTCATTGTCAATTCCTGGTTCCAAACCCTCTGGAAGTGCTTTCTTCATAATACTCTGAACTTTACTTTCAGAGCGTGCCTTGTACTTGCAATTTTACACTTGTTTATGAGTTATTTGACTGTTTTTCTTTTATATGAGACTGTCAGCTCCTTGAGGGAAGAGACTCTATCTAAGTTTGTGCACTGCTGCATTCTCATTGGTAGGTAGCTAGTATCCAAAACATGTTTGTTAAGTATATAAAGGATTGGTGTCAAAATATTGCATAATCAACAACTTTTCATTAAAAAACAGTATAGAAGACAAACTAAGAAATAAATTAAATTTAGATGAGAGGTAGTCAGAAATAGGATACAAATTACTAAGCTTTTTAAAATGACTATTAATTTAAAAATAAACTAGCTATCTTCACATTAACAGTGGCTGAAACGGGGGGTTATGGGATGAAATGGGATATGGGATGAGGGCTGGGAAGAGAGCTAAGACTGGAGGCATGGTTGAGTTTGTTGACTTATGTGGTATCAAGATATGGAATCAAGTTGGAATTGGATTTGGATTTGGATTTATGGCTTGGGATCAGATTTGGGAACTGAGTCAAGATTTTTTTTTTTTTTTTTTTTTTTTTTGAGACAGAGTCTCGCTCTGTCGCCCAGGCTGGAGTGCAGAGGTGCGATCTCAGCTCACTGCAACCTCCGCCTCCCGGATTCAAGCGAGTCTCCTGCCTCAGCCTCCTGAGTAGCTGGGATTACAGGCACCTGCCACCATGCCTGGCTAATATCTGTATTTTTAGTAGAGATGGAGTTTCACTATGTTGGCCAGGCTGGTCTCGAACTCAGGTGATTCGCCTGTGTTGGCCTCCCAAAGTGCTGGGATTACAGGGGTGAGCCACCTCGCCCAGCCCGAGTAAAGATTCTGATTCAGCATTGAGGTCTTAGTGAAGATGATTTTGGCTACAAGGATCAAGCAACTCTAACCCAGAAAGGGAATCTGAAAAAGTCATGACATGAAGAGGCTCCATCGTTGGTGAATTCAGCAGCTCAGTGACCTCATCAAAGACCCAGCTGTCCCTCATCTCTCTGGTGGGCTACCTGCAGTGTTTTGGCGTTGGCCTCGTCCTCTGGTCACTTCTCTGTATGGACCCTGGAGTGCTGCCACAGTTCCAGAATTTGCCTACAGATTAGACACCATCTAGCAGAAGAAAAAAGGCCTCTTTCAGTGCCTCTTTCTGAAAATAAGAAAGTCTTTCCTAGAAGTGCCTCTGTGGTCTTCCCCTCCTCACTGGCCACACAGCATCATGTGTCCATTTCCAAACTAATCAAGCAAATGGAATATGGCGTCAGTGCTTGGTTCATTGAGGTTTATAGTCATGATGAGGATGAAATATTATCCAAACAAAATGAAGCCTCTGATAGAAAGGCAAAAGGAATTCCAGGCGCGGTGACTCATGCCTGTAATCCCAGCACTTTGGGAGACTGAGGCAGGCAGATCACGAGGTCAGGAGGTTGAGGCCATCCTGGCCAATATGGCGAAAACCCATCTCTACTAAAAATACAAAATTAGCCCAGTGTGGTGGGGAGTGCCTGTAGTCCCAGCTTCTTGGGAGCCTGAGGCAGGAGAATCACTTGAACCTGGGAGGCAGAGGTTGCAGTGAGCCAAGATTGTGCCACTGCACTCCTGCCTGGGCGACAGAGCGAGACTCCATGGAAAGAAAGAGGGAGAGGGAGAGGGAAGGAGGGAAGGAAGGAAAAAAGGGAGGGAGGGAGGGAGGGAGGGTGAATGCTTGGGTATGCAACACTAATGTCTATTATTATGGGTTAAATGTAGAATTAATTGAGTTAGGGGTCAGGATTGAGATAAGGTTTAGGTCCAGGGTGGAGAAATAAATTCCATTTTCAGGATCTAATTTAGAGGTTGAGGTCAGTTCCACCTTTAGGAACGTGTCCAGCAATGATTCCTGTCTTGCTCAAAATAAAAGGCAAAGACCTTTAAGGCCCCCTGTCATCAGCGTCCTGTTATATTTCTGGCCTCATCACCTGCCCCCATCTCCTTTGGTCACTGTTCTGGTCGCAGTGGTTTTTCTGCTGGGGCACTTCAGACATGCTCCTTGACTAACACACCTGCCCGCTCACTTTGCCTGGAACTCACTACCTTCAAGCAGCCACCTGGATCCCTCCTTCAAGATTGTGCTCAAATGTCACCTTCAACGTGGGGTCTTTGCAGCTGACCTTCCTAATATTATAACCTCAGGGATCCTAGAGGATAGAGGGAATCAGCAACTCCGCAACCCTCTTCCTTGCTTGGATTTTCCCTTATAGCACTTACAACCACCGAACAAGCTCTACATTTTATATGCTTATTTTTGTACTGACAGTACAAAACAAGAGCATCTATGAACACAGGAATTTTCTGTTTTATTACTGCTGTGTCTCCAAGAGCTGGAAGAGTTTCTGGCACAGAGTAAAT